TAGCCTTTGCTTTCTATTCGTAGCCACAATGGGCATTGCAATATAAACAGCTAAAAAGGACGGACATTGTAGGTCTTATAGGCAGGGGGCCTAGCATACGGGGAAGCGGATTTGCAGGCCATGGCAGAGCTACTGGCGGAGCCCGAGGGCTCAAGCAAGCGCAAGGCGGCCGGGAAGTTTGCGCTTTCCTCTGGTTGGCACTTGCTGTAAGCCACGAGGGTGTGGACAATTAGGGGAAATCCACGGCTCTTTCAAGGTGCTGGCAATATGTTGTGTATCAAGCGTTTGCTTTGTTCCACAGAATCACAGCTTTGAGCATCGTGCTTCTAGGGATCCATTTTACAAGACGTCCAACGTACAGCTGCCAAGACTCTTCAAAAAATGCAGCGGGCAGCGGGTTTTCTTCAGGGATGAAGGCCCGCATCTTCGGGGCGCAACTTTTTATATGTTGCGTAGGCAGTTGCTGACAGGGCCACAAAGCCTCACATAGGCAGTCAATTGCGTAGGCGACGATTTGATAGGTTGTCATGTCACGTGGATACGCGACAATGAGACTCGCAAAATTGCAACTTGCCAGTACAAGCGTAGTACACGCAGCGCACTTTGGCAGCTTCAGCTGAAAGATCACACCTTTTCAGTAGCAGTGCAGTACACGAAGGGCAGCTCCAGCTCGAAATTCGCAGCTTTTCGATACACGCGCACTACTCAACGCACACTTGGGCAGCTCCAGCTCGAGAAGCGGCGTAGGCAGACTTCTAGGCAACTTGGTCTCACGTAGGCGCTGTTGTGGGAGCCTTCGCTTTTGGCGTATGGCGCAAGCAAGTAACAAAATCGTAAGGCCCCACGCAACCAACAACACTGCCCAATTGGATAGAAGACAACGCCACGCGTCAACGGAAGTCTCACAATCGAGAACTCTTTGAGAGTGAATCGAATATTTAGAGAGCTGTGCTTCAGACCGAGAGCATGTGGCATAAAGGGAATGTGCCTACCCCGCTGGCACAAGCTGGCTCAATTTTCTCTAGGCACTCTATCCGATAGGTTTCAAGCTGCAGTCACTCACTCGCTAGGCGAAACGGGGCAAGAAGTCGGATGCAGGCTGGGTCCAGCAAGCATGTTCACTGCAGCTGGTTTTTTGTTGGCTCAGGGAATTCCACAAATGGGGCTGCGCCAGAGACTCAGGGAACTGGACGCTTCGCAGTCGGCATGCTCAAACGGCTCAACACTCGCATTTGTCTCCGCCATTGTAATTTACTTCTGAAGGTTTAATGAGTTGGGCATTCGCGCCATGCCGCCAGCATGGAGGTACCCCGAAGAAGCTGCACCCTTGATAGATGCCGGATGCCCAGAGGCCGTAGGGGCCCCCACCTTCAGGATTCAGACCTTGACGTTGCCTGAGCTGGCGCGGGGTGAGTCTCAAAACGAGAAGTCTTCTTTCGGCAAATTGAAATCTGAAGCAACGCGCGCTTGTCACACGCCCCCATTTTGAGATACCCAGATCCTGTGGGATCCCCGCTGCTTCGAGGAAGCTCCGGAGCTTGAGCCGCTGATCCGGTCCTGGCAGCGCCTCACGGCCCAGCTGCTCATGGCGCGGGAGTTGGGTCGGAGGATGGGGGGATTCACAGACCGTGTTACTTTACAACATCAGCATGGTCTGTGAATTGTCACTGGAACCATAATCAGCCGGAATCACTGAAACCATTTAATTAATATGTTACTTATGTTGCCCGTGTTCCTTTTAAAGTGACCCCCTGTCAGGTTCCACGTTCATTGGTGCGAGGATAATCTGATTTACCATGTTTCCTCAGTGATTGTTATAATATCTTCAATGATATCTTCACTAGTGGGGTACGTATCCGACTGAGGTCAAGTTGGGAAAGTGTTAGTAGAAATCCGAAATTTAATGAAAATATTTATCCTTTTAACATTAATCTAAATTTAGTTTTTAAATGTTTAAATAATAAATAGCTTTATTAGTAATATAAATAGCAGCATTAAATGGATGCCTAGGTATTAAATTTCAAAAGGGCGTTAAGAATACACGAATCTGAAGCACTTGCAAGAGTCTGGGATCCCAGCGAAGCAAGGGACCGGCCCGTTTCAGGGGAGAATGACTGTTGGCTGCCTGAGTTCACACGTTGTGTGTGCCATGGTTTTCATGGACAGCCCCTGTCCAGATGGCGTCGCCAAGCTCCTGAAGCCGGGTGGAGCTGCGGGCCGTATCCTTTTGCTTTAAGACAGAAACAGTGCGCTCAACTGGGGGTGGCTCAAAATTAAACAGGAGGGGTTACGCAGGTTTTGGTCCATGTTTCCACTTACCAGGGTTCCATTTTGTACCACTTTTTTGAGCCAACTTCATTTTCAGTGCCAGCCTTTGTCCTGCGAGAGTATGCCTTTACTTCTTCGGACTTTGCGGACAGGAGCTACCCTCCCACTAATTAATGTGGAATCTCACAGGGGGTCCCTTTAAAAAGGAAAATGGTCCAACCCAGGACCCCCCAAACGTCAGGTCCCATGTGAGTTGGGGGGAAGGTGCTTCCTTCTTTTTTTGCAGAGCGCAGTTTGCTCATTTTTCGAGAGTCGGCAAGTTGCGAGCTTCACTGCCAGTGCCTGGAGCCGGCACCTACGCTCTCGGAGCCTATGCCCAGGCGACTGGAGATGAGAGCTGTGTGGTCCAAAGTGGGTGTGGCTCAAAATGAAAGAGCTAGGGTTACTCAGGTTTTAGTCTTTGGTTCCATTTACCAAGGTGCCATTTTGGTGCATTTGTTTGAGCCACTGAAAAGAGGGAGTGTCAATGCCTCGCAAAAGTTGTTGCGAACCTGACATATGAAGCGAAGAATATTGCGTGACTGCGATGGGTCGTTTGGACAATGTGCGGAAGTCTGGAAGAAGTGCCAAGCACCCGGCTTTGCTGTTTGCCTCCTGCCACGAGAAGTAATTACTCAATATCCCCTGGCGGTCTGCGCATCAGAAAGGTTCAAGTGCCGTGCAAATCGGATTGACACCAAGCTCAACAAATAAGGCATACTGGCAAACATCATGACGTGTGACCCCATTGGGTGTCCTTCTTGGTTCTTGCTGTAACACCTTGAGGCTTCTTTGAAGCATGGGTTTGGAAATTGGCAGGACTCCGCGAAAGCGGAGCGGACGCCCACAGAGTCGGGGGCACAGATGGGTAACATTTCAGCTGCATGGCCGCTAGAAAACGCTCCCTGTTGGAGGCGCTTGCCTTTGAATTACAGATTAAAAAAACATGTGTGGCCTTAACATCCTCAACCAAAGAGCATGTCAGGAGATTGAACAGTTGGTGAGATTTGGGAACTTTCTGCTGGCATGAGGTGCAGTGCGGCGGCAGTATTCAGGGCTGTGCACCTAGCGTCCAACGTTTGTGTGTCAATTTCTAATGATCTGGTGCAAAGCAGCTACAATGCAGCACCCAGTACGCCTCAGGTCAAGACACGTAGCACAATGGTCTGAAGGCACAAGGCTTTCAGAGGCCAGATGCTGAAGCTGTCATTCATGCAAGGACGCTTTGCCATCCAAGTGGAAGGCGTGCGATATAGGGGGCACGCTCACCCTAACTATCAAACAATCTGCAACATTGGAGTACCCACACCAAAATCCCGACTGATATCAGCTCAGTTTCCTGCGAGGCCATGAACTACATGGACTTTTCAAGAGGCGCGGAGATGGCGAGTCGGCTGGACGTAATTGCACACTGTGTCACTTGTCGTAGGTAAGTGCTTCAACAGATCCTAGTTGATGTCTTCAGGTACTCCGGAGGAGCCTCGCAGGCGAGCGTGGTGAAATAGCCTCGATGCCAGACTGGGGCCCGCTCGCTTTTACTGTACAAAGTGTTTGCGAGTCAGCGGATGTCATGCAAGAGACCCTACTATGCTTTTCTTATCCAATGCTACAATGTGAGACAGCCATTATCCAATTGCTGGCTTCTTATGTTTGCCCTTTGCGTTGCAAAAAAGGTTGAGCCATTGCAGAAACTGTTCAAGCGAGCGCCCTTTTTTGATTCCAGAAAACAACTTAGAGGCCCGTAAGTTGCGAGCCTGCAGGAAGCGAACTGCTGAACTTGGATTATTCCAAAACAACAATGAGTGAGAAAGTCACTTCCTGGACGTTGCCTAAGTCTTGCAATGCTCAGAATGAGATTGTCGGACACTGGTGGCACTTATGCAGACAAAAAGTGATGAGTGAGCTGCTGAGCCAATGCGCGAATCTCCAGGCGCAACGTTTGCACAGTTGTTGAAGGCACTCAGCATGCAACTTGCTGGCTTGGTGTGAGGCTTTACGCTCCACAATGATTTTTGCTTGACACTTTCTGCTGAGCTTGCCGAGTCCCGATGAACTAAGCACAATACGTCCCACTCACAAACATTTCATGCGTTGACAACAATACTGAAGGCGTTAGCATACCTCACACCTGTAAGATAAATGTCAAAACACATATTTGTTGCTGTTTGAGAGCTGCACATGGATGGGGCGCCGCTTTTGTGAGCGGTGCTGCAGGTATGCGACTTACAGCAATAATGTGTTCCCAGGCTTGCGTGACCATCATGCCGGACAACGTGTGACTTGTTTTGTTCTGATCCGCAGCTTTTTTTGATGCCCTAGCTGCATAAGACAGTTGCAACGTACAATGAAATGACTGAATGTTGATTCACTGAGGAAATGGCTTCAACGTTGACCATGGAGCAGGCAAAGGGTCGAGTGCCGCCTCTGTGATCCACTCGCATGGGTGTGGTCTAAATTATTGCTGCTCACCTCCAAGTACAGAGATTTGACAAAGTCGTGCCTCCGTTTGAGGCAGTGCTTAAATTCCATGGGGGAGAGGGCTTCGAAGAAGTCGTGCCTCTGTCCAAAACGCATAGGAACTCTGCATGTTTGAAGGGATAGGCTTTTGGGAGGCATTGCAGTTGAAAATGGTTATTCCGTGGGGTTTAGGATGGTTTAGGCACGTTCTATCTTATCCGCCTAGGAGCGTTTACAGTGTGTTTCGCAATCTTGAGACTTGACGTCTCTTTTGCTACAGCTGGTTCGAGTCGGCACCTTGCTTTTCCTCTCACCTGGACTAACCTTGCGTGTTTGCAGGGCTGAGCGGGTGCGCTTGAGGGGGTGCTTATTATTTGGCTGGCGCCTGTGCAGCGCTGAGCCGGTGTGCTTGAGCGGGGGTGCTTACCATTTGGCTGGCGTGTGTGCGAAGGGCTGAGCAGGCGCGCTTGAGCGGCTGGCATTCGCAGGTGCGAAATTGAGTCGGAAAGTGGGTGCGGAAGTGGGTTGATGGGAGCGGGTGCAGAAGTGAGTGAACTTGTGGGCGCGGGTTCGGCACATGTGGGCCCCAAAATCTTCAACGGACGATCGGTGATCTTGTTTTGCTCTCGGTTTGATCTCGTTTTGATCTCGTTTTGATCTCGTTTTTGTGCCAGGGCGCATTGCATATGTGGCTGCCCTCCTTCCAGAGAAAGAACTCCAGGACGTGGAAAAACACGGTGCAAGAGCCTGCAAAGCCACCCATTGTGTCACGTCTGACAAAACTCTCCTGCAACAACCTATCGTATGCTTGGCGTTCCATTGGTTTTCATGTTCCTGCAGACGCCTCGCGGGGCTGGAAGACATGCTTTGCCATCAGTAGCGTTCCATTGTGTTTCAGTGTTGACACCTGTCTTTTTGTAGCATGACCAGCTCGGTGATGTCAAGCGTTCCATGGGGATTGTTGCCGAGGCGTGACTTAGGAGTGACTTCTTGGAATCGGCGTTTACATGGGGGAACACATGGCCACACAGATAAAGGAGTGACTTAGGCATGACTTTGTCGTTTGCCTGTACTGTGTGGTTGCTCCGCTGTTCTTCAAAATATTACTATCATTTGTTGTTTTTGTTTTGTTTAGCGCAACCAACTTGCATGCAAGACACCTGTGCACTTAACCTCTTGGTTTCCTGAGGCAGAGGCACTCATCAAGCAGCTCAGAGAGGACCACGAGGTGAGCTTGTGGTTGAACACTTTGATGGTCCTTGTGACCTGTTGATCCCTTTTTGCATTTTCCTTGGTTCCGCACAAGGCATAGCGCTGATGGCTTTTAGAAGTCTGAATGTTATCTTGCCCAACATGCAGATGAGTTTGAGGGAGCTGTCGCACGCTGAGGCCTTAAGGGCAGAAGTGGCCTCACTGAGGAGCGAAGTTGTTACGCCAGGATCTTTGGATGCATGCACCACAGTGTCTAAAAAGAAGGAATCTTTCTTGAGTCTCAAGAACCTGCACTTGGTTTTGTTGAGTCTGTCAAATTATTGCAGGTGTTGCAATGGATCGTTGTATGTGTTTTGTATTTAGATTGTTGCAAGCGACATGCCACTTGGCCCTTGTGCAGCAATAGTGAATGATTGCTTCGCCTTTGAGGCAGCACAGGGCGCCAAGCAAGACCACAAGCAAGACCACAAGTGGCACAGGCAGCCTTTGGCCACTTGCTTGATTCATGGATCAGGATCATGAGAGCCTGGGGTGTGATCAATTGCATGAGGCTGCCATAGGCTTTCTTGTGCGTCGCTTGGCATAGGTTGGCAGGATTTCAGGTGTGGAAAGGGATAGCAGTTTCGGGGGGGAATGACTGACGATTGCTTCATGACAGAGTTGGGGCACATTGGGCGTTTACTTGCAGCAGATCTTGAAGCACAATGGTCAGGAGCTCCACAATACACAGTTCTTCCCTCAGCTTACTATGACTCTTGCTAGACCATCGACTGTGCTTGCACACGCAAATCCCGAAAGCTTAGTTTTGCAACTGCCCTGAAACAGCTCTAACTCTCGTTCTGGGGGCTCTTGACTCATAGCGTTCTAAGGCTTTTTGCAACTTGTTGCTCCGCTAAATTGAATCAGCCTTTGAGTTTCCGCCTTGCCGTTGCTGTGCGTCGGGTTTGGTGCCAGTCTCCCAGCTGCCCAAGAGACGCTGCATGTTTTTGAGCAAGGGACTGGCAATACTCTCAAGACGAGCAAATGAATCGCGTTTGTTTGTCAGGACATCCGCGGGGACCTGGAAAGAGACACAGAAACACAGCTACCTCTGCTGCTGTGGCAAAGCGGTTATTGGGTCACTGAATCATGATGGTTGTAGACATGCCGCACAAATCTGACAAGCATTTGTTTCAACCACCACAGCAGGAGTCTTGCCTTGTTTCCAATTCTTTGCTGCAGCCAGGCTCTACGACAACAGCACTATAAAGAGGAGACAAACGAGTTTGCTTTTCAAATGAATTCAAATACGCAGCTGCATGAGACCAAGCTTCATTTGAAGGGTGTCTCCTATGAATTTTTCATGCCAGAACGAAGCCGCTCCCCCGCTCCCCGGAAGCAGCTGTTTCAGCACGGGTTCGAGCATCTTGCAGGCAGGCTTGCGCTTGGCTTGCAGGGGCCTCAAAGTTGCACGCTGGGTGGAGCGACAGGCAGCCGATTGGCGGCAACGATGGCTATGCACTCATGTTATGTGCCGGCCGATTTGATTTAATATGTTGTCAGGCTTATCAAGTCGCCCCTTCCACGCGCAGCCTAGCCGACACGACGTGCCAAAGCGACAAGATGTGTCAACATGGCAGCCAGATATGTCAGAACCACTAAGTTGCATGTTGCACCAGTTTGCCCCTCTGAATGCCTTCACCACTGAGAGGCCTCCGGGATCAAGGCTGTGTGTGCGAACCCCAGCATTGGCAGCATGTTGCAGCTAGCCCAGGGATTTGCTGTCGTGTGAGGGAAGGATCAACCCATGTCCCTGCAAGCAAATTCGCAGGACATGTCTTCGGAAGAACTTGCATGGTCAAGCGGAGACATAAAAGCAAATAGTGATGCCTGCAGACACGGAGCAGTTGTAAACAAGAGACACTGCCCAACATGATTTGCCAAGGGGAAGGCTGAAGCTAGTGCCGCCCCTAGCTGGTATGCAAGGATCGTGAGGCGATTTTTGGATATCGGAACATGTCAAGTTCTGGCTATTTGCGTGCCTGTAAATGACGGGTGAGGCAGCATCAAAACTTCTTCAGCATCGCAAAAGAACACATTTCTGAAAATCAAGAGACACACTTAGTATTAATTAAGGCGTTGAGCATCAGGCAATAACTTAGTGGGCACCCTTTTGCTGGAAACACATGGAAACACAGTACAACGGCATTAAACACCAAATAACATTTATTAGGCATCGAAACCAAGCTTGTCGGGCATGGCTGGGGTTCCTTTGCTTAGAGTTTGTTGGGGGTGGGTTTACTGCGGGTTGGTAGGGCTGTTTGGCTTAGGGTGGGTTTAGGGTTGGCTTTGGGGTCGGATTTGGGTGGATGTAGGGTGGTTTAGGGGGGGGTTCAGGGCGGGTTGTGAAGTAACAAGTTGTTTGATGCCGGCAGTTTCCGTTCGGCTTGCTGTCTTTTGCAGCAAACTAATACCCAAGAAGCTACTGTTGGATGCCAAATACGTTGTTTCTTGATATCTGGAAATATTTTTTTGGCGCAGCCCCCGTGGCAGTGGAGCAAGCACAAACAACGGCATCAGCCAGGTAAGAACTGCCCCCCCCAACCCCATAAGGCAGTCCTTCCTTTCTACCTTTCTACCCACCTTCCTTCCCACCTTCCCACCTTCCTTCCTTCCTTCCTTCCTTCCCACCTTCCTTCCCACCTTCCCACCTTCCTTCCTTCCTTCCTTCCTTCCTTCCTTCCTTCCTTCCTTCCTTCCTTCCTTCCTAGCATGCGAATTGCAACGAGTTTGATGCCAGATAAGGCTTTATCGGATAAGGTTTGTGTTTTATTCGATGCCAATCCCGGAACTGATTGATTCCATCTATGAGCGGCACGGCATTGGTTCATAGACTGGACAGCTTGAGTTGACGGAGACGAAGCACAGAAGCGTTACACGGTAATGATCTGAGATCTCTGGGAAAATGACGGTTAGACGCAGATGAGAAGATCAACCGTCCCCAGCTTGATTTTCCAGTGCTCTCCCAGGCTTGTACCAACTGGCGCAGGCAGCCCTGAGGCTCGGCTCCAGTTAAGCTTTGGACGCAAGGACTTTGACTTTTTCACTCTCGGCAGCGATACGCTGAAACCTCTCTTCATGAACATCACTAAGACTGCAGCTCTCTTTTTTTCCCCTTTTTTCCCGTAGAGGCCTGGAGCAGATGAGCGCCAAAAAAAGCTGCGCGCAGTGGAGGACAAGCTGAGGCCTCTCCTTTGGAATGCGAGCCTGCTGCGTGTTGGCGTTGCCTTGCTTTTACAGACGCGACCTTTGGCGTTGCCCATTTGAGACAAATCACATTCTCGGTGAATGGAGCTTTAGAGAGCACATTCTTAGCCAGATAAGAGGCGGCTGCCCTCGTGATTCCTCACTTGTGCTTTTCTTGCAGGACTTTTGACGAGTACTGCTCTGCTTATTTAACTAAGTTTGAGATCAAGCTTTGTTCAAAGAGACCGCGTCGTCTGCCCTCACTGCATGTGTGCATGATGTCAGCCAGCACGCACACCGCCCTGATTGATGGACATTGATGTTTGTGGGATTCAGCACTGGACAGGCCCTGGGTGTTGTGTCAGTGAAAGAAACCATTGCTGGGTCCAACTTATCCAAGTGACCCCTTCTGCAACACGATCCCGCCTTCGTCTTTCAGCACGTCAGGGGAGGAGCTTCTCCAGATTCTTGGGAAGGCAGCGGTTTTTGTGGGCGGCGGCAGCAGCAGCGCTTGCAGCCAAGTTGTGGAGTGGGTAAACGTATTGACCATGATCCCTGGTGCCATGTTTTCCGCGTCAGCCATGTGCTTTGACCGTCAGCACCCCAGCCAGGCCCAGGCACGCCGTTGCTGGCTGCTGCCAGGCTCCTAGACTCCAAGGGCTCATCAGTTCGTGCCTACATGGGCATGGAGCAAAATGGAACCACCAAGGGGCCGCAGGTTTTGGTCCATTTTGTGTTACCAGGGTTCCATACGGGGTACGTGTTTCACCCACAGCCACATGTCTCGCTGTTTGTCCCTCGAAGTGTCTGATCATTCGATGCTTTGCGTGTAGCGAGACCGGGAAAGGCAACAGGGGAATCTTACATAAGCTTTTGCTGTTGGGGAAGTGCTCAGCACACAACATTGGTCCAGAGGGTGTGAGTCCAAAGACGTACTAATCTCAATCTCCGGTCATCCATTTGATTCCTTTGCATCAGGTCCAAGCCCGGTCGGCAGACCTGGTCTGGGCCTAAGGCGAACGTAGCAGATGTATCTCGCGACTCAGCTTCACACAGTTTGTAGTTCTTGAAACCCTGGGGCTCAGAATAACCTTAGTTGGAGTGACGGCTAGGCGAGTCTTCTGCTGAAAGCAAGAGCGGATCCTGAGCTGGCAGATGCGAAAGGCGGGGTTGTGAGCTGCACAAAACCTTAGCAGTGACGATTCGCTTGAGCCTAAGTAGCTCAAGTATCCAGAGCCAAGCCAAGAGCAAGCCAAACCCAAGGGAGGTTGTAAAACAAAGTCGTTGATTTAAACTTAGTACTCAGAGGGCCCTTGTGTCCAAACCTGGCACGTCTCACAGCAAAATGATAAAGAATTAAACGATAACGATCGATTGTCAGCTTGGAAAAACACAGCTTGTTGGGCAGCAAACAGGGCAGACTTGGCAGATGGCCAAAAACGATAACAATAGCGATAACGTTTGCTGCCAAAGTGTACATTGGGCACACATTTGTGCAGAACAGTTGAGACATGTTGAGACTTGCGGATGCCAAAGTGTACTTCGCGTACTACAGCGGTTCTTGAGATGGAGCAGCCAAAGTGTACTTTGTGTACTACAATTGTACTGAAAAGTTGCATTGTTTGAGCTGGAGCAGCCAAAGTCTACTTTGTGTACTACAACTGCACTGAAAGTTGCCATTTTCGAGCTGGAGTTGCCAAAGTGTACTTCGCGTGCTACACTTGCAATAGAAAGTCGCGATTTCGAGATTGAAAGTGCAGAAAGCACAAACCGCTGTAAAGCGACAAGGAGTCAAGGAAACGAGAAACAGTCATCCGGATATGAACAACGAACAAGCAAGTGAGAGCTTGATCGAAGCACGGTATGGCAGCGTCCCCAAATCCATCAAGAACTGACACACAACTGGACATGTGAGCGCCAGGCAACATCTACAGGATGCGAGGGAAATAATTTCAGGCAACATAGCAACCCACCGAAAACAATACCATTGCAAATGGAGCTCTGCAAGTGCATTGACAGCGTGCTGCGCTTGTACTGAAGAATTATGACTTTCGAGTCGGAGCTGCCAAGTGCACTTTCCTGTACTGCGATCCGGAAGACCTGTATCGGTCTGCATCGCTGTTCCACGCACTACCTGATGCATGAACCATAAACGGCCCTTATGCAACACATCGAGGCGACGATCATGCTTTCGGTGGTGTGCAAAGCTTGATGCCGTATCAACATGACATTTAAGTCACTCTGGTGCCAGCAAAAGTATCCACAAGGGAAATTACGTTGCTGAAAGGGGTCCGGGGTTGTTAGTTCAATTTGGGCCAGACACTGAGGAGACCTAATTTCAATTTCACATCAATGTACATTGGCTTAATTGGATTGAATGGGAACTTCCTTTTGCTGTGTGCTTATTCAAACAGCTGTGTGCTTTGGACTACAAGCTTCATACAGTCTACTCTTACTCTTTCATGCTAAGCAGAGCGATATTAGCATGCTGGATCACCGACATCGTCGCGTTGCGACGCCATGCCCAGGACCCCCTTTGCGCGCTGCTGCCGGGGGATCCCGGCGCTGACCATTCCAGCAGGATTGAGAAGCGGACATGCGCAGCGTAAGTCGTAGTGAGCAATCTACCAGCTTTTGGCTTAGCCAGTCTGTCTACACTTGCTTCGGAACATCAATGGTTTGGTGCTGCGTTTTCGCAACGCAAATTATTGCAGCTGCAATTCGCTGGTATCAAGCTGTGCGTTTGCCGAACATGTGCCATTTTCTTGACCTGTGCGTCAAGAAGAAGCGGATGAGACATCTTTTGCGTCACTGTATTCTGGACTGTCTACGAAGTGTGGACCATTCAACATATACATGTCAAGCTTGATACTGGACACGTATAGAAAGCGTTCAGCCGATTTTGTCACACCTCTCCATCTCGGCTTGAGGTTCAAACACGTTCCGCGGATTTGGTCCGGGCCTGGTCGAACGAAATCGCTTTGCCGAAGTGCAGCATCCTTGTCATGTTTGTCACAGGGGCATTCTTAGGATCTTGAGCTTAATGTAAATTCGCTGCTTGAGCCAACGCTGCGAGGTTAGCCTCTTGCTGAAGGCACGAGCAGATCCAGAGCAGGCAGATGACAAAGGCACCAGCGTCAGTGGTGCCAAACCAAAGTTGTGAGTCCACAAGCGCGTTCATCACCATGTCGCGATGACCTAACGAACACCGCCGGGAAACATATCTGAATTGATACTCAGTGCAGCGCTTACAAAAATGCTGGCCTGCCTAAGCCAAACATGTCAATGTAGCGCCGTAAGTGCGGCGACTTCGCAGACACCGACACACACACAAACAGAAGCTCAGAGACGCAGACACACACAGCACACAGGCAGTCGCCAATTCAAATTGGCTCAATATGTCTGTTGACTTAAAGGAAGTTGTGTTTTGCTGTCATCATTCTCAGAAGTGATAACAGTGATTCGTGATGGAAGTTGAGTCCTGAAGCCATGTCATGTGGAAACGTGAGGCGTCAGAGAGACAGAGACAGACAGAGACAGACAGAGACAGATGCACGCACACAGGCGCACAAACACGCGCGCACACGCGCACGCCCGCGAGGACGCGCGCGCGCCCACGCGCACACGCCCACGACCACGTGTCTCTCCCGCTGACGCGCCCGCACCCGCGCCCACGAAGGCACACGCGTACGCACCCGCACCCGCACTTGCACGCGCACGCGTTCGCACACACCCGCGCACCCGCACACGCACACGCACACCCTTACAGGCACACGCAAACGGCACGCACACCCGCACGCTCCCAAACCCGGACGTGCACGCACACGCACACGCGCACACACACACACACCCACACATTCAAACACACACACACACACACACACACACACACACACACACACACACACACACACACACACACACACACACACACACACACACACACACACACACACACACGCACACGCACACGCACACGCACACGCACACGCACACGCACACGCACATGTACGTACATCCAACACGAGGCCTGTTTAGATCCCCTAATAAGTATTACTGTTACTGCAGATTGTCTCCGGGCATTTTGCTCGGCGTTCATGTTTGGCTTCAGTGTTTCTTTGTATTGCGTGCTGAAGCATCATTGTTCTTAGAGGCAGCAGAAAGCAGTTCAGGGCAGAGTCGGTAGCCCCGCTGTTTTGAAAGTCTGAGAGTCTGCTTGGTGAAAAGCTTTCCTTGATGGGTCTTTTCGCGGATGGATGCCACGCACTGCACCCCCCATACGAAATGTTGCATCTGAAATGAATCTTCTGTTGGCACGATGCGGCTGAGAAAACGGCTCCCGTGTGGTTTGTTTTAGCTGCAGCATGTCCGTCTTGTCAGAAGCTCGCGCTTTTTGGACGAGCAGCCGGGACTGCTAGCCTGCAGATGTCATTTGTGTTGTATATGAGAGGATTCAAACAACTCTTAACTTGAAATACACTCTGCAGACACGCGAGGAATGACAAAAGCGGCTCCGCATAAGATTGTTGCGACACTTTTTGAAAAACAAGTTTTGTGTGCGCCTATGCGCGTGCACGCTTTGGCACAAGCGTGGAAATCTAGGGCTTGCGGGTGTGTGTGTGCGTGTATCTTTGCATACTGTTCTGGGTACTTTAGTCTTTGGTTCTTTGCGTGGCATGAGTTTCTTGAGTTTCTGCAGCCCATGCTCAAAGTCCCGGCCCAGGCCAAGCCTACCGGGGCAATGGCGGAATCGGAAACCCGTTCGTCCTCCAAGGAATGTGCGCTTGGCGCCTTCTACGCGACATTGTGTGCGATTTTTACTGTGATAGTCATCGTGTGGCTTATTCTTTACCCACTCTTTCCCATCCAGGAGAGTAATGCTAGCTGGTCCTCTATGTGGCTGCTAATGGCAGTTCTGCAATACTACCACATGGCAGCAGTCTTTTGCGGCATTGTGGTTGCCACTGAAGCCACCCTGCCCGCGATCATTTGGTGCTTGCTGATACTTCTTCTTGGAGCTCCTTTTGCAACCTTTTACACGGCGAAGCAGATTGGAAGTGCTGGCACTTTGAAGCTACTGGACAACTACATCCCTGTGGAGTCATTTGGAAACAGGAGCAAGAAAGCGGAAAAGCCTTTGACAGGCTTTTGGGGCTATTCAGTGGCCGCTGGCTACGTCGTGATTGGCTTGGCATTTGCAGCCAAGCTAGTGTCGTCTCTCATTCATTTTCCTTTGGTTCCTTTGGCAACCGGCGATGCGGAGTGGGCCAACGCATGGCTCATAACCACTGTTTTGGATTTTTACACCATTGCAGTTTGTGTGATGGGGGTCATTATCGCCACGGACAACAACTGGGTGAGTGTTGCATTTTGTGCGGGGATTCTACTACTCACTGGACCTCCTGGATCTGCATGGGTGGCACAACGTCTTTTCAGAAAATTGCCACTCGCCTTGGAAAAGGCATGAGTCGCAGAACACTTTTGCGTGTGCATATGAGAGTGGCAAGAGATAAAGAGTTTCACACTAATCGGGAAACCTGTGATTCGAGAACAGATGGCCCATACAGAATGGGCTTTGACCATTTGCTGCTGTAAAAATGGGCCAGGAAGGCTGCGTGCCTTCCAAAGAAGGCCGCTTCAAATTGGCGAGAGAACTGTCTGAGTCACTGGGCAATTTCGTCATCTCGCGGCCAGGTGTGCGGCTTTTGCACCTGGCTGTGTACAATGGTCAGGCAATCTCTGAGACTGAAAGAGAGATGGAGTGACATTCCCAAGTTTATCGTTGAGAGAAAGGGCAAAAACAAAAGCAAGCAATGTTTGTGTCAGCCGGCATTCGTAGCAGAGGGCGTTCAAGAAACTGTTTTCGCTGCTTGATTTCCGCTGTCAAAGTTTGCAACGGCAACAAGCAGAGCTAGCAGCGTAACACTTGGAATGTAGAATTGTGCTACACTGCAGCAGACTACACGCCCAATAATGATGCATATGAAAGCCAAGCACAGCTTCATTTTGCTAGCGCTACGGCTGGCAATAAAAAAACGATAGGCTTGACAAGCAGCTTCAAGTACTCAGCACTTCACCTGGCGGACAAAATCGGGGGAGAAGAAAAACTTGTCATGTTTGGACCCCAAATAGCAAAAAGGAAATCTTTGGGATGCACGGGCTCCAGGGAGTTTCAATTTGCAGCTCTTTTGGTGTGAGCTGAATTTTGTTTCGAGTCTTATTTCGTGGAGTGAGACGCCGAACAAGTCAAGGGTGTTTGCTCCTTTCTGGCCTGATTGATTTGTTGTTCATTTTCTTTGCCAGAATTACGTGCGCACAGGGCTGATTTTACTCTTTCGTCGATTTTTGCCTTTGCATTTTCTCATCTTTTGAGGCGAAGGCTGAAGATCCTGTTTTAACAAATGCTTTTCGAAGAAGCTTATTTCGGGCCGAGCGGAGATTTATCCTGCTGGTACTCGCAACCATCAGACAGACACCGCTTCAGATGCGTGCGGTGGGTGCTTGCCATGCAGGCCTTCAAGCGTTCCATTGCCCAGCCATCCAAACAAATTTCTTTGCACAAACTGTCAGGGATGCGTGCCAATGTCGCTGCATGCCGGCGGAGTGATATTTGTCATCGTGACCATACCTTTGGAAAGACCGTTACCCTGTCCCAATGGCCCGGCATTTGCAGCTGATTGCGACGCTGCTTGAAGCCATTTTACGCAGTGACCCTTGGGTGCAGCTGCTTGTTGCCGCGCAGGATGAAGTTTGCCGACAATTACTCGCTGCAAAGGTGTGCCACTTAGAACCACGCAAAGGTAATCGACGCTTGAAGACAGCACATTGCCTTCGCAGGCATCAAGATTGTATACTCCTTTGGAAATGTCATCCTTCGTGCTTGGCTCTCCAGGCTAATCACAATGCTACAGACTGCCATGGGTGCAATGCTTAGTTGGCTTAGTTCAACTGCTGTACACGTTACAGAGTTTGGCATATGGGCTGGGCAGATTGATACCTTCAGTTTGTCTTCCACCTGACAAGCATTGGGAAAGTCTCAGATGTCTAAACTGTCTAAACAGTGCGGCTTCCAAAATGGTGATCAGTGCTGCTTTGGATGCGGGTCCAAGGCAGACGCCTATTTTTTTTGCGCCAACGCGCACGATCTGTGAGGCCCTTTATAGGAGCGCGATTCAGTCATGAATGAGCACAGCTTGAATAATTCGTACATGTTGGTACCTGAGAATGGCTAGTCGCTTGTGAAATGAACAGGCTAAGATCAAGGGTTGGCTCACCAGTTGCAACACCCTGTTTAAGCGAGCTTTGGTTCGTCCGCTTCATCTTTCTAAGACCTCCTGAATGCTCGCGCGCGTGACCCACAAAACGTCGCATGCGTTGGAACTAGCTTCCATCGGTGTAGGTGGCCTCTGCAGCTGCCTGGGCATATGGAGGGTTCTGTTGGGTGTGAGTTTCAGGCCGCAAGTTATCGAACGTATTGATTTGACAAGGCCAAGAAACTAAGGGTACCATTTCCCACGCAGGTGTAGGCCTGGTGTCATGTGGCATAGGCTTTGGCCTGTGCGTGGATGGTCCTGTTGGATGGCTTGTCTTTGTGCAACTTTTGCGTATTCAATTGAGGCTGTTTTGTGTCATCTCGGCGCAAGTCTGCGCCATGCTATTTTCTCCATGCACGCCTTCACGCATCACGCATGGTACCCGGTACCCGTTCCAGCATGGTTGTCTCCGTACGTGTCTCAAGCAATTTGGCCTGAGCTGTGCAGCGCTCGTGTTGCTATAACGGGTGCTGGAAGCTTTTTGGCTGCAACCTTGCATGGATTCCCTGCAGGTTGCAAGTTGACGGTTGTCGCTTTCGGCTGCCGCTGAAACTTGCCAGGAGCCATGCTGACATGAACGTGATCAGCCTCAAAGGTGGGCAGAGAGTGCAATGGGATGTTTGGCAGCATGTCGATTGCAATTGTCCCATCGAGTATCGCTAGCGCTGACGGATCGCTAGCTTTGGAGCCATAGATATTCCTGTGACATCTGTGACCTTTGGCCCAGGGCAATCCGCTGTTCATTTGGCGGCCAAAGCTGGCTTGGGCGACATATGTGCTGCAGTCTCAGAGCTGTGAGTCTGGCGTCAACGAGCTTCGCACATCACCTGCAGTGTGGAGAGGTCTGGATGTGTGGCAAAGTGAGTCGTAGCCTGTTGTCAGGGCCCAAGAAATTTGTCAGCACTCATGTTACTCATCTTGGGTATCTTGCCATAGTCATAGGTGTCCTTTTTGGTTGTTTTGCTAGAAGAAATAGATGGCCCTGGTTTACCTGGTGGTTTAATCATCTACCAGGGCCATCTATTTCCCTGAAATGACACCTATGGTCATAGTCTTGTAGCTGGATTCTGCTGAGACCTGTCTCCAAGGCTTGTGCGCGACGCCGAGGGCTGCCTGGCGTCTGACTATGCGCGTCAAGCCAAGGTCAGGGGCCTAAAGCTCGCACGCTGAGATCAGGCTCACCGCCGTTCCATAAAGGAGCACACATGGCTACAAATCGTACCCCCAGTGAACATCCCAATCCCAACTGAAATAGACTAAAATGGGTGGTGCACCTTTCCCAAAATGGTACCAGTGGTGTTGACCCACGGCCACATATGCTGATTTGGTTGTCTACTTGGTAGAAAGCGATGTCCCAGTGCTTTTCACAATTGGAAAGGGACTTCTGGATCTCCCAGACAAAGAAGTCCTGAGGTCAGGCAAGAGCACATTGACAAGTTGGAAGCTGCTGCAACTGCTACTACTACTGCAACTGCTCGAGGAAGCCTAGGCATCCTGTTTTGCAGCGCACATTCAGTACTTCTTTGCCTTTGCCCTGGCAGGCGGTCCCAATGCTCAGCCCAGAGCATCGCCTTCGATTCTTGGCGTGTGTGAAACGGTCTTTTAAAGATTCCGGCGTGCCATCCCTCAAGTTTGGCCGCACCAATCTAACACGTGCTAGAAACACCATCTTTGATGCATTGTTGCACTTACCGCACTTCTCGCAGTCTGGCGGACAGGATTCAGAAGAAGATGCATTGCCATTCCAAACATTTTGTTAGATGAAGCATCATGCTTAGAAGTGAAGAGGCGGCCCAAAGCACATGGGCTCCGGTTCAGAATCCCAAGCTGCTAGTTGGTTTTATTGCTCAGCATCCAGAAAAAACAACTCTAGGTCAAAGAGCTTCAAGCCGGCTGTAAGATTAGGACAGCCACCACGCCCAACATGTCAGCTGCATTGTTTGTGGCCAGGGTTGAGTCAGACATACCTTTCGTTGGTGACTGTTGCGTGGCAAAACTCACAACGTCAAACATGGTTGTAACATGGTTGAGATGCTGGCTCCCAATCTCAAACCTCCCTGCATTTGGTGGTCGCGATTGTTTCGGCAACAGCCGAGGATAGCGGCTGACGTTGCAAGAACAGACATCGGAACTCTGGCTGCAGCAAGTGCTTGACCAAGTGGGGTTGTATACAAAGCGGGTAATACCACTTTTGTATTGCGCTGGCTTCGTTTTAACCAAACATGCAAAATCCTGCAAAACGATAAGGAGCAAAACAATGGTAAGACATGAGTGATGTGCAGCTGGCAAAGTGTGCTTCGTGTACTACGCTTGTAGCCCACTTGTACTTAAAAGTTTCGACTTTAGAGCCGGAGCTGCCAAAGTGTACTTCGTGCGGCCAAAGTATACTTTGCTTGCTACACTTGTACTTAAACGTCGCGAATCTCGAACCGGAGCTTCACTTCGCGTACTACACTTGTACTTGCAAGTTGCAACTCTCGAGCCGGAGCTGCTCTGAAGAAAAGCGACTTTCGAGCCAGAGGCGCCAAATCACTGCAAACCGACAAAGGATAAAGACAATAACCCCGAAGGGTTGAATAATTCATTTGCAACTTCTTGCATCAAGGGAAGCATTCTTACAACTACTCGCGCCCACCATATTGTCTCTTCCAATTGGGCTATGTTTTTCATGGCTCCGAGCAGAGACAACCTTCAAGAAATCCAGAACTGAAGGTTTGGACGCCCTGTTATCAGTGAGCTTTGTGCAACATCATATAGTTGTCATTGGGGGATTTATGCAATGGGGGAAGAGATTCTGCAGCCCAAGGGATGCAAATGCAGTATTGCCGAACTAACTCAGCCAAGGTGAGCCGCCAGAAAAGCAAACCGTGCTGGCGCCTGAAACAGTCTTGGGGCTGCAAGCGGCACGGAGCTCAGAAATGAAGATCCGCTTGGTTTGGGTTGTTGATATGTGGCTATTGCTCAGGACGTACCTTCGGCGGAGAAAGCTTCCAAAGGCGCATGCGTGCTTCTTGTGGTGAGCCTGGCGCAAAAAGCGCAGTAAAGAGAGAAGGCAGTGCGACCATCAACATGGGAACCCTGGGCGTTTTGGCTCCTGTCAGACTCGCGTATCAGATGATGAGTGCTGGGACTGGCCCCGCACACAGGCAGAAGCTCCACCAGAACTTCTGCGCTTTCGAGAGACGTTCTGCCTGTGATTCTTGGCATCAACGATACTTGCCAGCTTCGTTTGGCTTGCGCTCACTCACTTTGGCAGCCCAAGCGCCAACTGTACGAGAGCTTTGGCGCATAAAGTGAAACATCATCATGCTCAGGAGAGGCGGCAAGAAAGCTTGCACTTAATGGGAGCAGAGCGGCGTATGCAGAAAGAGAGTACATGGGTGTTGTGTTTCTAGTCAGTTTTTTTTAACTTGAGCTGTTGCTGCGTTGCTTCGGGTTCAGCAAACATTGCAAAGTCTGACCGACATATCGGCTTCTGGTCCCAGGCCTCAAATCGCTCATTTTTGAAGCCCCATTGCAAACACGAGGGTTGTCTGGAATCCATGGGTTCGCTACCCCAGCCTGATCGTTTCAGATGTCACTAGAGCAGGGCGATCCACACCATGGCCAGGGCTGCACTTTTGCGCTCTCTGGTGTTTTGGACAAGCATAGTGGCACTTCCAGATCAAACGAGCTTCATGCCGCCTGTGAAGTCAGGCCAGATACCGCCCCCAACATGTCAGCTTCATTGTTTGTGACCAGGGTTGGGACAGATATACCTTTCGCTTGTGATCGATCGCTGGCAGCCAAGTTCCTCTTGCATGGCAAGAGATACAAGGTCAAACATGGTTGAGATGCTGGCTCCCAATCTTAAACCTCCTTGCATCTTGCTGGTCGCGATTGTTTTCAGCAGCAGCCAAGGATAGCAGCTGATGTTGCAAGAGCAGACAACGGAACTCCGGCCGCAGCAAGTGTTTGACTAAGTCGCTTCATGTGTTGGTTTTTAAAAGATGCGCAGCACTGTGCTGGTCTTAAATATTTGCCAGTATTGAATCGTCTTGCTTCCTGGACGACATTTGGTCGTGCCCCGCCAATGACATGAATCCAATCCCTCTCCCCAGTCGGTTTTGTCCTGCCGGGAAGAAATCATACAAGCACTGAAGAAATCCAGGACGCAAATTGAAGCAGAGAGATTCCGGGCTTGCAAACTGTTTGTCAACTCGTTAGCGAAGAACTATGAATTGGGGGACAGGGGAGGGATGTTATGCAGCTCATAGCTGCAGTATCGCGAACCAACTGAGCCAAGGTGAGCCGACAGAGAAGCAAGACGTGGCGCCTGAAGCAGTCCTGGGGCTGCAGGCAGCGCTGGGCTCAGAAATAAGAACCGTTTCGTTCTGGTTGATATGCGGCTATTGCTCAGGATGCACCTTTGGCAGAGAAAACTTCAAAAGGCGGGTCATATCTGCTGCATCATGCATGCTTCTTGCTGGTCAACCTGGGCATGAGTAGGGCAACGCAGAGAGAAGTCTGCTCTTAGCAGCCTCAAGTATTGATGAGTGCTGCTTCCCCTGTTGCCTGCGAGTGGCACCAGGCAGAAGTTCCACCAGAGCTTCTGCTCTTTCGAGAGACGTTCTGCCTGCGATTCTTGGCAGCATCAACGGTACTTCCCAGCTTCGTTTGGCTTGCAATTAATTTGTTTGCTAGCCCAAGCGCGTGTTCAAGTGAAACTTAAGAATTGGCTGGGCGAGGCATGCAGGCTCCACAAACATGAATAAACACTTGATATAGCAGTAGAGCCGTAGACAAGACTCTAGTTGTATTTTTCTTTGTTTGCTTTTTTCCTTTACGTTTGTTTTTGCGTTCCTTCTTTCTTTTCAGTGTTTCTTTGTTTTTCTGCTGTCTTCTTTGTTGTTTTCCTTTTTTCCTGATTGTTTTCTCTCTTGTTCTCTCTTTCTCTCTTTCTCTCTTTCTCTCTTTCTCTCTTTCTCTCTTTCTCTCTTTCTCTCTTTCTCTCTTTCTCTCTTTCTCTCCTTCTCTCCTTCTCGCCTTCTCGCCTTCTCTCCTTCTCTCCTTCTCTCCTTCTCTCCTTCTCTCCTTCTCTCCTTCTCTCCTTCTCTCCTTCTCTCCTTCTCTCCTTCTCTCCTTCTCTCCTTCTCTCCTTCTCTCCTTCTCTCCTTCTCTGTCTCTGTCTCTCTCTCTCTGTCTCTCTCTCTCTCTCTGTCTCTCCCTCTCTGTCTTGTTTCTTTCTTTCTTTCTTTCAGTGCTTTGGTCCCTTTGACTTCAGCTGATCACTGAGGATGGCGGCTAATGCTACCACGCCAGACGACAAAACTTTGGCGGCAACAAGTCTTTGCCTCAGTCACTTAATTGTTGGCCAGGCGTTTCTGACCTGCGTGTGAAGAGCATCGAGGTGAAATGTTTTCTTGTTGCAGTTTCACGCTCCCAAGAGCGACTGTGACTTTGAACGTGCCCTGCAGCAAACCTGTCCCGCCAAGGCCACTCACCAGCAGATCAGCAAGAAGTGCGTCCAGCTCAGTTGCCACCTAGAGAAGCGGTTAACTGTTTGGTATTGTAGTGCTTTAGACCTTGGTTTAGCTAGTGGCACTGGTCCCCCCTTTTTCCCCTTGCTCTGCAGGCTGCAGACTCCGCCTGAAGAAGTCTCGGCGCCAGAGGCGGAAAGATGTGCCGGAGACTGCCAATGCCAGTCAGAGAAGTGTAGAAGGGCAAACCCAGTCAGAGCAAATCACTCCTATTGATGTATCCATGACAGGCTCTTCTGCATCCGCCCCAGCAGCAGGAGGAGGAGCAGCCTGAAGGCACGCTGATCAAAGTTTGCCATTTAATATTATATTCTGCGCTTGCGCGCTTCCTATCAGTTCGGCTTGTGGAGTCTTTGCCAAGAAAAGACTCATGGTGCTGAACACATACCCATGACAAGCGACATGATTTTCGTCTGCTGGGAACAGAGTCACTGACCGTCTCCTATTGTTTCTCTCGTTTTTTTTTTTTTTTTTTTTTTCCGTGAGGGGATTCACCCGGGTCGCGACATGTGGCACACTGGCCTCTGTGACTTGAGTTTGAAACCCGGACAGGTGGCTTAACTGACCCGTTGCAGGCTCAGGTCAAAGAGAGCTGAACATTGAGCAAGAGAAGCCCTCCACGCAATGAAGACTGTATCTTGTTCACCTTGCAAAGCTATAGGGCAGCTGGGGCACGTGAAAAGAGAAGGGGCACTCCCAAGAACGATCGCAAAGAATTTGTGCGCTCTGAGTTTGTCAATGGGCATGGCTGCCTTAGTGCCCCCCCAAAAACGAAGGTGAGTCTTGAAGCGTAGAACATGCCGTTTTTGTGCAGAGAGCCGAGCAATGAACTGAGAGAAGTTTCCTGTAGCCAGCCCCCTCCGCCTTTTTTTGCGGGCTGCCGTACTAAATTGGATTCCGAATGAGAAGGGCTGAAGCAAAGCTTCAAGCGATAGCCAAGTCATTCAAAGCCACTCCTGAACATGTCCACAAAGTGTCACAGCTAGCGGCTAGCGTTGCTTGAGATCTCGTGAAGCTATTCAGAAACCAGCAACTGTAGAAGCAAGCCAGTCAACTCCAGACAGTGCACACAAGAAAAGCAACATGGCATGGTGCATCCAGCCGCAGCCAAATCAACTTGGAAAAGAAAACAACCAGCCACATTCAAAAAACAAACAATCCAATTGAGAACCAACACATAGCTTTCAACCTGTCTAGAACCTGCTGAAGGAGTTGCAGCTGCAGTCGTCGTCAGGAAAAACAACAACAACAACTGTTGAAGCAAGGACACAGTTATTTCTCTGTTCAAGCAAGGACGCATTGCAGTCAAATGAACAGATCCAGACGCCGCAACCAGTTGCCACGTTTCGAACCTTAGCACCCTCTCAAACATCGCACTGATTAAATGAAGCTGGATGCAACCGCTGCAAGTGATATTGGTAATCTTCAAACATGAGCACAATTCTCTAATCTGCGTCGCTTTTATTTTCGGGTTTACCGATCTCTGAAATGTAGTCACTTCTTCCAGATGGTTCATTCTCCTCTTTTGCAACGCGTGGAGAGCAAAGCTGAAGAATGGCCTGTATTTGATGTGATTTGTTTTGCGAAGCAACTGCAAGTATGCCCAGGCAAAAGAAGACGCAAACAACTGTCGAGCAGGTTGCGCAAGAGTGCGTTTGCACTGCATGCTTGAGGCTAACGGCGGAAGACTGTGTGCCCCTCGATCTTGGCGATGAAGAAGCCTTCTGACCACGGGCCTAGCGAAGCTCGGAACTTGCAAGCAGGCTTGACAAGCAGACCCAAGTTGCAGCTGACTGGGCCGTTGGAGGGCACTCGTGCTCAATCAAGTATGCTTGCAGTGTACATACTAAGCGGCTCACATTGCTTATGCTTACGAAGAAACACATTGCTTGCAATTGAAATGATGCTTGTGGATGTTGAGCACATCAGCTCGCGAGGACTCTCTAGAACCAGCAGGATGTTGAGACTGGCCAATTTCATGCCACAGAGTTGTTTAGGCATTGCTTGCTGCTTGGCCACGTTCGCCCGCTTTATGTCAGTGTATGCTTACATGAGGACAAGAGCTGCACAATGCCGCGCACAAACACGCTTTCCAGCGGAATGAAGCCTTGTGCATGCACTGAACCTTGGCTTCAAGGCATGAACAGCAGTCGCAGCAATAGGCGTCAAGATCGATTGAATTCATATTCAATGAGCTGGCGCCATGTCCAGCCCTGAGGAGGCCTGTTTTCGATCTGGTTTGCTCGCGCGCCTCAAGGCGCGCGCTCAAGGCGTGCCTGGGCAGGTGAAGCCAGTGCTGAAATGGCTGGAGCTCAAAACTGAAAGCCGGCCAGGGCCATCCAGTCGACAGCAAGCTTTGTGGGGGCATGGGCATACATACAAGCCACCAACATACAGACGTTCAAACTTTCCACCGATGGTAGAGCGTTTGCTGAGGCTGTGTGTTGGAGATGAGGCCTGGGACTGTTGCATTGATTGTTGCAGGCAAGGTACGGGCTGGGATTGGGCTTTGTGGGTGATGCGAAACTGCGTTGACGCGGCGGATCAAGGCCGAGCTTTTGCATTACACATGTCTGGCTGCCGCAGTTGGGCTCAAATAGAGTCTGGCGCAAGGCCAACATCACGTATCATGCCCCCCGGACAAGAGATGCAGTGATGCACTAGATGCCATTTGTTCCAATTAGGCGTCATCCGTATCTGGTTGACTCCAGAGCGATCACAGTCAGATTGTTCCTTTCGAGAAAGCGCCGCGACCTGACATGGCAGATCCTATGGTCGAGGGTGACGCGGGCGCTGAGAACATTGAAATGGGGCTGCAAGACCTGCCGGAAGGCGAGTGGTTCCTGCCGATCATCTTCCAGCCCCCGGTATATGAGACCATGGAGCTTTCTCCAGGAGTTGAATCATTTGTCTTGTTCTTTTGTTTGTTGCGTGCTTCAATCGTTCCGTGCTTGAAGCAGAGACGCTTTGACAGGAGTGTCTATGATAGACATGAACACCGGGAGAAAGAGGTCGCAGCCGCCCCTGCATGGACAGATGTCGCGACAGGAGTATCTTTCAGCAAAGGGAGGAAGCAGTCCACCGTCCGAAGAGGTGCATACGGATCCGCTCGAGGCTCCGGCCGCTCCCCAAGAAATTGTGAGCGGTCAACAAATTGGAGGCCAACATGGCTTGCAATCCTCGAATCGTGAGCCACACGAGAACTTACACGAAACACTAAGGTGGATGCGAACGTGGCGGATATCCAGCAGCAGTTCCAGGTCTTATCCTTGCTGTATCCGCCAATGCGGCTTCGCAGCCCATCTTCCAGACCGGCAACAGCTCCTTCGCGCCGCAGCCGAGCCTTCGTACCTCATCCCAAGGCTGGGCTGCAAAACTTGGTCGACACAAAGTGCGAAAGGCCTCCCAACAAACTTGGGCTTGATGCGTTAACGTGTGATATCAAGGAGCTGTGCTTGACCCCTGTGGCGATGTTTGGCCTGTTGCACATTTCGATAGAGTGTTTTTTGTTCATTTCGGGCTAGAGGGCTTTGAGGTAGCTCGAGAATCACAACCTGCCCGAAGGACAAAGTCATGGGAGGCACGATTGTCGCAGACAAGGAGCTACTTCAGAAATTATTCGGCACGAAACAAGCAGAGGGTGCCAAGTGTCGGTCACAGAGGTAAGCCTGTGCTGACATGGCCACTCCCCTCTTAGCGCTTGTGCCACTGACACGCTAGTGTCAGTGTGTGCAGTACGCTGCGTGACGTAGCAGTGTACAATCGCACTACCATTGTTCCAACTGTTTGAATGTTTTGGGTCGATGTCATCCCACTGAAGTGGGTTAATGATACACAATACTTCTCTTGTAGAAGGGGCGCCTTGAGGCGAATCATGCTGTTAGTACCCGAAGCAATCTGGCGATGTGGGTCACAAAATCCGCACTCCAGACGTCAGATTTGCACGTGCGGCACGAGCAAACAAGACCATATGGCTGTGGGTCACAACCAATGGTACCATTTTGGAGTAGGTGCACCTCCATTTTAGTCGGGATTTTACTGGGGATTGGGATGTTGACTGGGGGTACGATTTGGGTCTTGACCCATGGCCATATGGGAGCTTCTGTTGGGCGCAGGCCAACAGCGTCTTCAAGAACGAGCCAAGTCCGGTCAACGTTGCCGCGAACTGATAGTAGTTTGTATGTGGTCTCGCACTCCAGTTCCCACGCAAGGCGATGGTTTGTGGCGAACTGCGCACTGGCAAGCTGCAGACCCAGTGACAGCGGCACCAGCATGGGGCACGTTCCTTGGAGTTCTGTGTGGTGACCTCAAAGTCTAGTTTCACCTCCGACATGCCCTTTCTGGAGAAGGCAGCAAGGCTTTGCCCATGACACTGGGCTTGCGCAATGAATTGGCTTGAAGGTCATACTTGATGAACTGCTTGCTGGGCAGTTCATGTTTTCCCGTGTCATCACAGGCAGGCAGTGCCTTCAGTGAAGCTTACTCACCTTGATATCATGCTTGATTACAAACTTGCACATTCTGCCAGATACCAGGGTGTGAAGCTCAATTATTGGAGTATGGTTGAATTCTTAATTGCCTCATCGTCCATACTTTGTACCGCAAGCTCGTGTAGTCGAGCCTTTCTGTTGCGCCCACATCCAGATGCTGGCAGGCTCGCAGCTTCACCGTTGGGGTGGACTTGTGTTCAAGGCCTGAAAGCTCGTCTTTGGGGGGGTCAGTCACAAGCAGTCGACTGCTTGAAGGCCAAGGAGTACGGGCCACAGACAAGAGATGCGCATCTTAGAAACATGCAGCAGATGGCCAGGCTTTTTGAACCCGATGAGCTTGGCGGTGCCAAAGGAGGGCCGGGTGCCCCAACTTGAGCTTGGCACTAGCTGAAGCTTGCGGTGCGAAAGCCTTGGATAGATTCATTCGCGTTGCAAGGCCCCGGGTCGCCTTTGTTGACCTCGAGGGACAGGGCGACAAAGGACACAAATTTTGGGCTGAAACTCCGTGGCTGCCATGACCTTGCTTTTTGCACCAGAACACATTCGCTCTGAGTTGTCCCTGGCAGGAATCTCTCAAGACCTAAAAGTTGCCACGCCGGTTTTGATTGTGTCCAAGGTGGGGTTGACAACGACAAGTGGCTGCCAGTGTATAATTTTGCATGACGTTTGCGAGGGGTAAACAAGGTTCAAGCGTACAACTTGCTTCAGTATATTCGGTGGACTGCTTTTGTGCAATCTTGCTTCAGGTGGTCATTCTCGTGAAAGTCTGTCCAACAGGACCTTCTGTTGAAGCCATCCTGGAGTGATTCTCTTAGAGCAAGAGAGCCTTGTGACGGGTGCCGTCAAGGTGGGAGATTGCAGCGACATATATATATATATATATATAAGCATAGCATGATTGTAGAGCATCACACAAAAGCTGATGCGCACTGCCTGCGGGGTATTTTGGGATCTGAGACTTGCAGATTGCATGGCGCAAGGTCCCTCAAGCTCTTGATGATGGCTGGGAACACCGTTCAAACTCGCAAGGAGCGAGGCTGAGATCGATCGCTTGGACGTGCTTTGATGGGGGGGCCAAAAAAAACGGATATAGCCACAGTCGATGCCTTCAGGACAGGAAAGGGCTTTTTGGCCACTTGCACATCGTTCTTCGTGACTGCCCCCAGGATGAGGTGGGTTGTATGGCATCTTGTGGGTGTGCTTTCAGGGTCGGAGCTCTTGTGCAGGCTGAGTGTGACGACATCATTTTCGGCAGCGAGGACCGAGTTGGCGATCCACAGGTTAATCTTGTCTCTGCCTTTGGGCCATCAGCTCGTGCAACAAATGTACGGCAGACACCACTTTGAGCGGATGGTTTGGGTGTTTGGTTCGGTTTGGAAAAGTATGGCTGTGCAACATGTTACAAGACTTGAATGCCATTCAAGTCAGTGTAAACATGGCGTGTTCAAAAGGGTATGCCCCAGGAGGAAAACGAGGCCGAAACCGACGAGCATGCTCAGGCGAGACCCAGGGACCCATGGGACCCATGGGATTGGAGTCCCAAGTTTGCCATGTGAAACGAGCGTTGTTTGAGACACGGCTGTGAACGACTTGGATGCCACGCTGCCGAAGGCAATTCAGCTCCGCAACAATGTCCGCAAGTCGATCAAGCTCTCCTTCGAGGTGAGCCTTGGTTTGGGAATCGGTCAGATGTGGCATCGCGATATTAAGATGTCAAACAAGGGCATGTGTTTGGGACTGGTGCAGCATGGTGAAGTTGCACGGAATACTGTATGAATGCTCCGAGCAAGTGGAATAGGCACGTGTGGCACTACAAAGGCTTAGGTGGCCATTCTGCTTCTGTCCTTTGAAACCGAGGCAAAACCAAAGGCGCGTGCTTTGCAGTCATTTTTCGCAGATTGCAGCCATTGCACGGAGTTCGAAGGGCTAAGTTCCAACTCTCAAGCCAGGTGTGGTGCCTCCCCAAGCTTGCAGAGGAGCCATGGTCCTTGCCACTTGACTGGCCTCTCCTGGCAATTCATGGCAGGACGTGGCTCCGGATGACTACCGGAACGCAAGCAGGAAGGGATTTGCAGAAAAGATCGACGAAATCCGTGCCGGACTCGGAAGGTTGCGCTTGAAGCAACCGCGTCAGTATTGGGATCAAAACGAGGTGCCCACATGGCGCATCAACTCGCAGTCCCTTCCTTACACATTGACATTTGGCTGGGGGTCAAAACCAATGGTACCGTTGTGGGGTAGGCGCACCACCCTTTTTAGTCTATTTTAGTGGGGATTGGGATGTTCACTGGGGGTACGGGATTTTGACCCATGGCCATTTCAGCCACAAGTAACTTCGCCAAGCCACTTGTCAGTCGATAGGCACCAAAGCTGCTCAACAATATGCCGCCTGGGTCCTGGCTTCGCCTGGAAAAGGCAGGTTTGCTTCGCCAAATTCTCTCAGGCTGACCGGCGGCGTGATTGGCAGCCTTATGCCAGAGCTTGCCGAGGAAATGAGGACTTCCCTGTCGCTTCTGGGGAAGCGAACGATAGGTTTAGAGCCTTTCGTCAGGGACACCTGTCACCAGAAGCAAACATTGCCGAGGTCGCCCAAACACTATGGCAATGGGGAAACCGTGAGAAGTTAGGTAAACGTGCAACAGCTGAAGCCACTGCAGATAAATAAGGCGGAACACACACACACACATACACGATAACGATAACCATGAAACGGCCAATGTGGGAACTTGATTAATGAACGCGCCCCCCCCCCCCCAACAATGGAAGCGACAGAATAGTGGCCAAGACATTGGGACATTCAAACAATGGAGGACCCGCGGGCCACAATACTTCTTTAGTCTAGCAGCCACTTCTCTGAGCAGAGTTTTGGTTTAGTGTGGCAGCCACTTCTTTCTGAGCAGATGGTTTTGAAATACTACTTTAGTCTAGCAGCCACTTCTTGCCGAGCAGACTTTTTGGAATACCACTAGTCTTGCAACACTTCTTGCTGAGCAGTGCACCAAGTTGGGGATGGGGGGGGGGCTGGGGCTGGCCACTATTCTAATGCTCTAAAACAATGGCACCTATTCTGGTTTTGGGGGTGTTGTGTGGGATACCCTCGCCCTGATTGCTTTGTGATTTTTTAAGCAAGGTGCAGTAGAGAATTCGCATCCTCAGAGCTGTGGATGTGTCTGGCAGGGGCTAGATTTGGAGCAGTTGAAGCTGATTTTGGCAGGGAGCTGCAACCAGCCATTGTTTGATGTTTTGTTGCAGGTGCAAGCAGAAGTTGGCATGGTGTCCAAACCTGGTGTTGTTTTTTTTTTTTTTGTTTAATGGAATTATTTAAATTAGTTGTTGAGTTGTTTTTCCAACAAAAAGTACCCGGGCAAAATGGGAACTCTATTCTGGTCCACTAAAACAATGGGTGGGAACCAGAATATCAAAACCACGTGGACTCTATTCTGGTCCACATTGCTAGTCAAGTGCCAACATTACAGCACTTTTTCACACAGTCTGTGTTTTTTGCACGGTCTATGTTTGTTTTTTCAGTTGATTTTGCGCTTAGGATGATGTTGCTTGGTGTGTTTACCATGCGTTTATTTTGGCAGTCGCAGTGGGGTCTTGCTCTTTTGCATTCTTTAATTGCTTGGCTAGGAGCGATGCGCCATCCCTAAATCCACCAAACCTCATGGTGCGTGTGGCCATGATGGAGGCACGCGGGGCACGTCGGATCAGCTGCGCAACGACTTGTTTTGCTGGTTGGCTGGCTGCCTTGATGGCTGGCTGGCGGTTGGATTGCTTGCTGGATCTTGCCGGCTGCCTTGCTGGCTTTCTGGCTTGCTGGCTTGCTGGTTGACTCGCTTGCCGGCTTCTTGCCCAGCCTAAACATCCAGACAGTGTGCCAGCAAGTGACAACAGAGCATTCACATGATCGTGTTTGACCAGTTTCGAAGATTTTTGGCAGGCCCGGTAATTACATACCTCGTTACATACCCCGAGGCGCATCAGGCTGCCTTCGACATGCTTCATGCCTTTGCAGGTTTGCTCCTGTAGGCTTGCATCCGCTTTCCTCCTTTGCTCCTGTAGGCTTTTGCTTTCCTTTGCTGCTTTTCTTTACAACTGCATCTCCAACAAGTCTGGCACGATCAGTGACGAAGCCATTGGGAAGGCTCAAACAGTCAAGTTCGGCGACACCTCTCCTTCCTAGCGCGCTTCTTGCTTGTCACCACTCTAAGCTCTCTGCCCGCGCTGGTTTAAAGCTGCACGACTACGACTTTGATTTTCATCCTTGTACTTGTGTAACAAGGGTCCTTCTTTCGCCATGCCTACGGAACTACGCCGGAATCGCGCGTGACATACTCACAAACCTCATTGGATCCATCTGGCCTGCTCACCGACGCCCAAGATTTAATGGCGGCACTTGTCGAACAGTCGGTTGCACTCAACCAGTTTGTCCTAGGCTGATGACATGTGGTTGCCCAGCATAGCGTGGCTTGCCGAAACACATGCATGAGTCGCAAGCCATTTGTCCCACACATGTTGGAGCTTCGGCTCGTTAGGGAGCTCTTGAGGCATGTAGCAAGGCAGGTGTGACGAGCAGAGTATGTATTGTTCGCTCGAACCAATTGCCAGTATGGGTTATTACCACGTAGTTACGGATGCTCGGCGGCTCAGAGTCAGACCAAAGAGACATGTGGAAAGGTGCAGAGGATTATGGAGGAGCTTCTCCAGAAGGCTCGCAAGGAGAGAATTTGGGCTTCATGGATTGTGCGGTCGAAGATGGAAACACATTGCGTTGTGATGACTTGAATGGATTGCCAGCCGGGAAGTGATAAGATTGTAGTGGTCTCACGTAGCTTGATTGGGCTCTCTGCCAGATTTTTGCGGCTCAAGTCCAATGCGTTGTTCCGCTTCATATTAGTCCATTTGGCACCTTCTCAAGCAATGCGAGGCCAGCTTGAGTTGTTTGATGTGAAGCAAGGTGAAGGTCCATGGATGAGTGAGCTTGGCAATTGCAGCGGAGCCAGCATGCCATGACCATGCCCAAGTCATGTTTGCAGGCTGGGATGACAATGCTGCCGGGTCAAACAAGTACAAAGACATGAAGCTCGCTCAGTTTCGGATCTACTAGCCTTGCATGCTTCGCGACCTAAGAACTTAGCATGGCCAGACAGTTGCTCAGGATCCGAGAAGAGTATGCTGAGCACAGTGCTTTGCCATGCACTTTGGACTTGATCCTCGGAACAATTCATGCTGCTGAAGTGGTCACGCTGCTGCGACTTGAATTTCCGCGTTTGCTCCCAGGTTACCCGGTTATTATTCGATCAGTGTTCTTTTTGTAACTTGGAACCATGGGCTCCCTGGCCCTTCCGAAGTGTCCCAGGTGTCGCAATGCCGTGTCCTGCAGGCCCTGTGTACCTGCCAAGGATGGAGCAGAAGTTGGGGCTCATCCAATCAGATTCTATGGATCTTCAGAATGATCCGCGATTTTTCCAGGACAACGTCCTGAACAAGAGGCTAACTGAACAGCTTTTGCATGGCTTGGCCGCTGGTTGGTGTTTGTTTCAGGGCCCGGCTGAGGGCCGCAAGTCGAAGGGAGGTAGCACCTGGTGTTTTTTTTGTGTGTGTGTGTGTGTTTGTGTGACTGTTTTGGTTTCGGGCAGGTTGGAAGCCTTCAGCAAGCTCGGGGTTGTCTCGTCGCTCATGGTGACCCGCAGCAAAAGCGATCTTTTTGGACTCATATCAGTCCAGACTGAGATCAGAATATTTGGATGTATGCAGATCGGCAGCAGTTGTGCTGCAGCAAGCAACCAGAGAAGAACCAAGGTGGGCACGTGCACACATGTCATCGCGATGAAGCTAGGGCCTCAAGTATTCAAGCTTTCCGTGCCACAATGTGTGCAATATCATTAGATACGGTGCATGCGTGCACATGCCACGCCAGACGCGGTAAACAGAGAGTACAGCGGCATTTTGAATGCAGGAAAGATATGAACTTCTCGACAACTGAAGGCCGGGGCTTTCAGTCAGATGTTCTCATTTGCTTTCGGACAGGAATAATGCGGGTTGTGAGCTTTGGGCTTTTGCCGACTACTCAGCTGCCATTGGAGAGCAGGAACTTTGGTGTGCCCCTGCCCTTACGATAATTCGGAGCCGGAAAATACCTTTCTTCTCCTTTTACGCAGCCAAATCGAGAAACACGCGTGCATCCGCGATTGGCCACCTTGTAACTCGAGAGTAGAAGCCATGTTTGCAATTTGGTGCGATTTTGAACCATGCGCTCAGGTCCATTGTGCTGTTCCTGAACATTATTGCCGCATACGAGCCTTGGCGAAGTCAGTGAACGACGTGTCAAAGTAGCATCAAGAGCCGCAGTTTTGTGAGAGTTGCCTGCCTTGAGATTCAACAGTGTAGGTCGGCATTGCCCAGACGTACCACACGTGCCCTAGAGATCTCTGCCATGCGTACGATGGAACTTGGAAAGCGTGCCGCAGCCGCTGTCCAGGTACCGCTTGGAAACTGCAGGGCCAACTGGTTTTGAAATTGAGACTTGGATGCAAGGCTCGCGTGTTCAACCAAATGTGCAGTATCTATCAGCCAGCAGAAAGCTGCCACACTGCAACACAATGCGAGGAACACTGTACCCCGAACAAATGCTCACAAGATGTGGTCGCCTTGATGTCCCTGCTGATTTGATCTTACTGTTGGCTCATTGTCTTTGAAACTGCTGTGGAGCAAGCATGCCTACGTGATGTCCTTCATTGCCCCTTTGACTTTGTGTTGACAGTTGGTGGGACAAGGTGTGCAGTTTTAAGTTGCTGTTGGTTGCCCTTTCTTTTGCCATTGATAAGGATCGATCTCCATTTGCTTCTGTTGCCTGATTGCCTCCAAACATCCACGTGCAATAGCCACCCGGTGCCCGGGCCGGTGTGGCCATCTGGCGAACAATGGCCTGTGCGGATATCTTGTGAGCAATTGGCCCATGCCGCAAAAATAACGGCCCGTGCATGGAAGACGAGTTGTTTCAGCTTGTGCTCTTTTGCCAAAATGCCTCAAATACACCGCGCCCGTATCGTTTTGGTACTTAATCCTTCAACAGGCAACAGAGCTCGGAAATGTCCAGGCGCTGGATGTGCTGCCACTCGATTTAATCGACTCACTCAACTAAAGTTTACACGACTGATTTGCGCTCGAACTTGATTGGCTTCCGGTGACCCCCGGGCCGGCTCTGCCGTGACAGACGTTTGCAAGTCAACCTGCGTGACCTGAGCTTGAAGTGTAGTACACCCATGTCTAAAGCAATCCTTTGAGCCTTATGCTTGCAATGGTTGGTTGTGGCCTTGTTTCGTCTACTTCATTGCTTTTATATCTATCTTCCTGCTCTTGTTCCCGTTGCGGGACTTTGCACGAAAGCTCTGCCAAAGCCACGACGTGTGAGCTCTGCCGAAGCCACGCGAAAGCTCTGCCGAAGCCACGCGCAAGCTCTGCCGAAGCCACGCGTGAGCTCTGCCGAAGCTCGAGTCTATACTGCGAAATTGCAGTTCGTGTTCTGCCTTCGTACTGAACAAATGCAAACTTCAAATCGTAGAGGAACCATGAGGAACCTACCACACCTTTAAAAGCTCCACTTTCTGCGGTGTTGCAGTGTTTGTGCAAGCGAAATCATGCGAACACTATCTTGCACGCAGCTCCTCAATCCGCGAAAGTCTCGCGTAGGAGCTACTCTCGCAGCCGGGGCTGCCACGTAAGCCCCCGCGCAAGGAAGTTGTTAGTGTCTTGCGCCCGCGCAACAAAATAGAACAGACTGAGTTGTGAAATGGTACGCGTCATGGAACCGGATTGCACATATCATAGTTCGAAGCCCTAACATTCAGCTGAAGAGGCATTGTGCATCTGGTGGTCAAAATTCCGAGTGGGGGTGCGATGTTTCTGGAATGCTCAAGGTTTCATTTGCAGAAGCATGTGTATTTTGTAATTATTTGCGTGTGTATTTTATCAAGCAGCTGAGCCAAGGCCACATCTTACTATCTGAATCCCAACATCGTCGCGATTTGGCCTGACACAGTTTGAGTATGACAAATATAAATTGGCAAGGCATAGAGGGGTCAAGCTATGGGCAGCTATGGGCAAGCGCTTAAGGCATGGCGTCATTTTGCGGCGCCGTTCTTAGCCTGCTGCACTGGACATAACAGCCGAATGTTCGGCTAGCCAGCGGGAGGTGCATACTGCGCTGCCTCGCTTGAATCTTTGTGTTGCGATTCCGTCATCATAATGTGTGTTGCTAGAATTGCAAGTGTGCGTGTGTCTGAGTTAGTTGCAGGTGTGTTGTGTCTTTTGACCATGGCTGTTCAGGTCAAATGTATGCTGCACGGCCTCACAATCTTCCTGATCTCGACCGGAATCCGCTCTTTGGTGGCACAGCATTGTATGACTGCACTTGAAAGGAGCGCCGGTTGCGCCGGAAGTAGTAACTTTAGAGCCTCAGGCTCAGTTCGCCGACATTTCGCCGCGACCCTTCCAAGTTGTGAGGTTAAAACTAACGTTACGTCAGGAAGAACCTTTCCCATTCATCCCCCATTCATTGCCATTTCCCCTTCATTTCCCCTTCATGTCCTTTTCATGTCCCGTTCATTTCCCCTTCATATCCCTTGCATTTCCCCTGCGTGTCCCTTCATTTTCCCTTCATGTCCCCTTCATGTCCCCTTCATTCCCCCTTCATTTCTCCTTTATTTCCCGTCTATTTGCATTCATTGCCCTGTTACTTCCCCGTCATTTCCCATTTCTCTTCATTTCTGCTTTATTTGCTCTTTGTTTCTCCTTCACTTCCTTTCATGTCCCCCGTTCGTCCCTTCATTTCCCCGTCATTCCCCTTCCATGTTCCCTTCTTTGCTCTTAATTTCCTCCTCATGTTATTTTCCCCTCGTGTTGATGCATTTCCATTCATTGCCAAGTTGCGGGCGCAGAACGAGCCGACAGAGAGACGGCAGACAGCAGGATTCGAGTCTACTTTTTGTGGGGCGTTCATCAAATTGCCGCGCGGTACGTGGCCCCCCTTTTTAGGTGTTTGACACGCCGAGAATGTCGGCGGATAAGTCATGATCGGGGAAATGTTGTTGTTTGTTCCACGTAATTACTGTGTGCTGCTGTGTTCCATAGAAAGTGAGGCGGAATATTTTAGGTTGTGTGCTATTCAGTTGTTGCAAGACCCTTTGAGCGCCCTGTGGCACTTTTCACCTTCTTGATTCCTTGCTCATTCATGCTTGCAATGTCCTTTGAAGGGAAATGGGGCCTAGGGCTGTGCGCGAATTCGTGATGATTGTTTGCTCGAGTCAAGCATTCCTTTCACATACTTGCCTGCCTAGGGGTGTCTGTCAGCTTTGAAGATTTGACAGACGAGGCGCTTGCGTTGCATCAGAAAGTTGTCCCATTTAGAAAGCGGCAAGCCAAGCAGATGTTTTTGACCCCAGACAGGAGAAGCCCAGGATCACCAAGCACAATGCTCGCCTCTTGGGGTTGGTGACGCTGACGCCACTTGACAACAGCCTGCTATGATTCCATGATGCTCTTGCACTTGGCACGAAAGAGGGGGTTCAATTGGATGTCGATAGCAAAGGTTCTTTTGCATTGGAGGACGGCGTTGGGACAAGCAGGATGCATGATAAGAGTTGTTCAAAAGATTGGCATGCTCAGTGCCACTGCACTATGCTTGCTGCCAACGCAAATGAGGAAGGTTCTGCATGGCTCTTGCTGAGGCACTATCATGCACACATGCGCACCGTCCCTGCAGGTTTCATAATGCACTACATTAATGGGAAGCACCAGGTCGCTTTGCCGAGAAGATATGTGCGTGATTGTGCGAGTACTATATAGCAAGGGGCAGCTTTCAATGGAGCTCAGAGTTCCCATCAAAATCAATGGAGCTTGCAAGTCTCGCAGCAAAGAATTGCCCGTGCAATGTCAAGATTCCATTGCGAGTTAGACTGGAGCTTTTATGACTGGTCAAGTGGCATGATGTCAAAAGGTCAAATTGCACAAGCCAAGTGCACGCCCTTGCCGAGGCAATTTTCCGTGTCAACTATGAGCATGCCAAGGAGCTTCACATGTCCAAGGGTTAGAACATGTTAGGTAGTTGTCTTTGTTTTGGAAGCCATGACATGACCAACATGTTGAAAAACATGTGTGTAGCGACAGAGGGTCCTTGAGGAGCGACACCCCTGTTGAGAGTTACCCCTTCGCGTACTACACCTGCACTACAAAAGTTGCGATTTTCGATCTGGAGCTGCCTTCGCGCACTAGACTTGTGCTAGAAAGTTGTGGCGTTCGAGCTGGAGCTGCGGAAGCGTACTTCGCGCACTAGACTTGTGCTAGAAAGCTGCGGTTCTCGAGCTGGGCTGCGGAAGACTATTCTCAGCCGAGCTGCGAGAAATGAGATGCCACTGAGTGTACAGGGGGCCTTGAGGAGCTACCCATGGCAGACAGCCATGTAACAGGATTTGGCTGTCTCATACTTGGTGTTGCTGGCAAGCTAACATCTACATGCAAAATACTTGATATGATCTGAATGTGACCTTTCAAGAGTGTCTCGGAATTTCACTATGTTTGTTTGCGACTCGGGTTTGTTGGCCGCAGTCTCTTCGAGTTCTCATTGACTTTGTTAATGAGGTGTGTGAGTGGGGCATATGGGTGAGCCGTTTGTGCGGGCATCTTAAGTACGATGTTCTTCAACTTGTCACTGCGTGGAGAGTCCTGATGATTGGGAAGATGTGTGTGAAATTAATAATATATATATATGCATATAGAGAGAATGGTATCCAGTGTTGAACCTGACTCGGCTAGGAATCTGCCATGTTTGTAAAGCAAATCGTTAGTTGTTGTGGTTCTTCTGGTTTGGCTGTTAGTGTTGCTCTGTTTCTGTTGCCGCTGTTGCCGCCGCTGCTGATGTTGCTGCCACTGCTGATGTTGCTGCCGCTGCCGCTGCTGCTGCTGCTATTATTGTCCCTGTTATTGTTCTTGTTATTGTTGTAGTCCTTGTTTTCTTGTTGTTTTGCAGTTTTCTTCTTGTTCTTGTGCTTGCTCTCGTTGTTTGGTTGTTTGGTTAGCTGGCTGGTTGTTTGATTGTTTGTTTGCTTGCTTGCTTGCTTGCTTGCTTGTGTTGTTGGTTGGTTGGCTGGTTTGTGGTTGTCGTTGTCGCCATGGTGGTTGTTGTGTGTTTGTTTGCCTGCCTTGAAGAAAGATATGGCACGTCCTCACTCTCCCATCCTATCTCCTTCTCTTCTTTCCGGAGATTTATGGATGGGGAAGATGTAAGAAAGAGATAGGACATGAAAAGGAATGCCATTCCCTTCATTCCTTTCACTCGGGAATGCAGGGACTGGATACGAGCCGCAATGAGAGAGAAAAGGGACGGGCCAGCCCATTTCCCTTCTGCCTGTCGGTCATTCCCTGTCTACCACTTCTCTCTCTTAAGTCGTGGGTCCGTTTGTCAGTTTTGTTTTGTTGTTTTTTGTGTTTGCTTGTTTGTTTGTTGTTGGTTAGTTGGTTGATTTGCTTAGTTGGTGGTTGTCGTCGTTGCCCCCATGTTGAACTCTTTGGTTTGGCCCTCAGACCTTGAGCTTAGGAATCTTTCTGACGGAAGTCGACGACACATGAGAGTCGTTCCAATGGTCCTTGTAAGGAGTTAGTATTCGGTGACCATCGGTCATGGTTGAGGTACCTCTGCGCAAGATTCGCGATGGCGTTGCGAAAGTAACTTGTTTTGCAAAAGTTTTACGTAAGTGTATCTTGTAAATCAGTGACATGTGAACGCAGTGCATCTTTTCTGTTGAGCCATCCTTCTGTAGCTGAATAAACCAATTGATTTTGTGCTGATAAGCCTGGTGAGGCTGCAGTTTGATACCCTTCTTGGCTGGTTAGTGCTCCAAGTGTGTGTGTGTGTGTGTGCGTGCGTGCGTGCGTGCATGGGTGGGTGCGTGGGTGCGTGCGTGCGTGCGTGGGTGCGTGTGTGCGTGTGTGTGTGTGTGTGTGTGTGTGTGTGTGTGTGTGTGTGTGTGTGTGTGTGTGTGTGTGTGTGTGTGTGTGTGTGTGTGTGTGTGTGTGTCTGCGTGTGTGTGTCTGCGTGTGTGTCTGTGTGTGTCTGCGTGTGTGTCTGCGTGTGTGTCTGTGTGTGTCTGCGTGTGTGTCTGCGTGTGTGTCTGCGTGTGTGTGTGCGTGTGTGTGCGTGTGTGTGCGTGTGTGTGTTGTGTGTGTGTGTGTGTGTGTGCGTGTGTGTGTGTGTGTGTGTGTGTGTGTGTGTGTGTGTGTGTGTGTGTGTGTGTGTGTGTGTGTGTGTGTGTGTGTGTGTGTGTGTGTGTGTGTGTGTGTCTGTGTGTGTGTGTCTGTGTGTGTCTGTGTGTGTCTGTGTGTGTCTGTGTGTGTCTGTGTGTGTCTGTGTGTGTCTGTGTGTGTCTGTGTGTGTCTGTGTGTGTCTGTGTGTGTCTGTGTGTGTCTGTGTGTGTCTGTGTGTGTCTGTGTGTGTCTGTGTGTGTCTGTGTGTGTCTGTGTGTGTCTGTGTGTGTCTGTGTGTGTCTGTGTGTGTCTGTGTGTGTCTGTGTGTGTCTGTGTGTGTCTGTGTGTGTCTGTGTGTGTCTGTGTGTGTCTGTGTGTGTCTGTGTGTGTCTGTGTGTGTCTGTGTGTGTCTGTGTGTGTCTGTGTGTGTCTGTGTGTGTCTGTGTGTGTCTGTGTGTGTCTGTGTGTGTCTGTGTGTGTCTGTGTGTGTCTGTGTGTGTCTGTGTGTGTGTGTCTGTGTGTGTCTGTGTGTGTCTGTGTGTGTCTGTGTGTGTCTGTGTGTGTCTGTGTGTGTCTGTGTGTGTCTGTGTGTGTCTGTGTGTGTCTGTGTGTGTCTGTGTGTGTCTGTGTGTGTCTGTGTGTGTCTGTGTGTGTCTGTGTGTGTCTGTGTGTGTCTGTGTGTGTCTGTGTGTGTCTGTGTGTGTCTGTGTGTGTCTGTGTGTGTCTGTGTGTGTCTGTGTGTGTCTGTGTGTGTCTGTGTGTGTCTGTGTGTGTCTGTGTGTGTCTGTGTGTGTCTGTGTGTGTCTGTGTGTGTCTGTGTGTGTCTGTGTGTGTCTGTGTGTGTGTCTGTGTGTGTCTGTGTGTGTCTGTGTGTGTCTGTGTGTGTCTGTGTGTGTCTGTCTGTGTCTGTCTGTGTCTGTCTGTGTGTGTGTGGGTCGTGCGTGCGTGCGTGCGTGCGTGCGTGCGTGGGTGGGTGGGTGCGTGGGTGCGTGGGTGCGTGGGTGCGTGAGTGCGTGCGTGGGTGCGTGGGTGCGTGGGTGCGTGGGTGCGTGGGTGTGTGTGTGTGTGTCTGCGGGTGTTAGTCGGTGATTCTTCGCGAAATATCCGCGAATGCCAGCGCGAATGCACAGGCTTCGATTGCAAGGGGAGGCACTTTCTGGAGCGGCTTACCAGCGGATCTGCGGAAGTGCATTTCGGGTACTGGTTGCGACTTTCCAGCCGTGGAAGTGCATTTCATACATTTCATTTACTACCCTTATGCCGAAAAGTTGCGACTGCACAGCCGGAGTTGCGGAAGCGCATTTCGCGTACTACACTGGTACTTAAAAGCTGCGACTGTCTGACTCTTAGCAACGGAAGCTGCACGGCGATGAACAGCGAAAGATTCGCGGAAGTAGCTCTTTTTCGCGAAGAATGGCCATTCCGAGACGGGAATTTAGAACAACCACCACATGTCCCAGGAGCAGCACATCAGCAACTCACCCAACTCATTAGCTGGGCAACGACGTCAATCAAATGAAGGGCGTATACGAAAAGGTAACTAACTCCATGAAGTGCGTGGAGGCATCCTATTTGGTGTGAGTAGGTTTCTGTTTGTGTAGGTTGGTTTTCCTTTCGTGTGGGCTGCTCATGTAGGCATTTGCGGGTATTTGTTGGTCAAAGCAAAAAAGCAGGGTTCAATACAGTTCGACAAACAGACTCACTTTTGTTTTGTTTTAATGTCATTGCTGGCCTGGCGGCCTGGAAGAAAGAACGACACTGGTCGGATCGGCATGAGATGTTTTCCTGTTATTCGTGCGCACGTGCTGCGAAAGGCCCGGCATGGGCATTTGTTTGGCCATTCACAGCATGCTCCCTACCAAAACCCTTTCCAGTGCTCACAACACCTACCTGCACAAGGCAAGCATGGCAAGCACTGCACTCATGATGACTGGTGCAAAACAGAAATGAACAAAGGGCAGAGGTTTCCGGGTACCGCAGGCCAAAGTTTGGTTTCTTAAACAACCTTTGGTGGGCTTGAAAGCATGCATGAACATCTTCCACGCAAGCACTTGCAAAAAAGTCAAATCAAACATACGCACGCTTTGCGGCGCACAGGCTCGCGGAGCTTTTGCATGGCCCAGAAATATGGAACCTAGGGTTCAGCTTCTTTGGCAGCACTACCAGGCCATTCGCAGCACCAACCTCGTGTCTCACTCGTGCCTCATTCGTTGCTTCTTCATTTGTCACTGATACACCATTGCCTTCCGGAATGTCATGTTACCATCAAACGAGTACACCTGTTTTATAATTCAAGACGGATGTTGTGGATTATGTGCACGTTTGGATGCATTGCATCAACGACTGAAATCTCTCGTTCTGCAGGAGTCAGAGCGGCCGTATATGTCGACAGCTCCTTGATTGAATTTAGTGTCGATTGATTTCGATGCCGCAAGGTATATGGTCCTTGGCATGTTCTTGGCTTGGCAAAATGTTGCTTTGTTAACTCATTGCGCTTGGCCTTGAGATGGGACCCCTGTCAAACTCGTGTTGTGCTTCAAACGCGTATATTGTCAGCAATCAATATCGAAAGGCCACGCATTTTACGTACTGAGATGTGCGATCAACAAAATGCATTGGCTCATCAGTCAATGGTTGCTTACCGGCACAAGTCCTGCACTGCAAATCGAAGCGCGAAGGTCCACGACATTATGCACTCCAAGCGCAATGGACCCCGCCCACATGGAAACGTTGTTTGAGCTCCAGAGGCCTGGAAATGTACGTCTCAGCGATACAAAGTTGACTTAAGCTTTGAGCTGGTGGGCTTTGTTTTCTTTTCACAAGACATCGCGAAGTCGTCATAATTTTGACTAAATATGGAGACAGCCCGCCAACTCAGTGGAGGTCCAGGTCCAAGAGCTGCCGGGCGATGGAAATTTATTCCAGTCTCACCCTATCCTGGCGCTCTTTGTTCACCTGTTCACCTGTGCATTTCAGATGGCTGTGTCAGGGTCGTTGCCCTGGCCGCTCAGCGATTTGCGCCAACGCATTCCTCTGCTTGGACTAATTCTTTATGGGACAAGCTGTCCTGTTAAGGGACGAGCTGTCCTGTCAAGAGAGTGCGCGTGGCACTATCAACGGGATCGGATCAACTTGGACTGAGTCTCGCAGCAGGCCTTGATTGTCCAAATTGGCTTTCTAATTCGCTCTCAGCTGTAAGCCACCTGAGCTGCCGACCATTCAACTCATGAAATGAGTCGAAGAAAAGTGGGGCAAGCAGATTCCGGCTGTGCACCTGGGCATGCTAGTCAAACGAGGTAGATTGAAAGCATTTCGGGGTTTCAGGTTTGAGCCTCGTTTATATGGGGTTTATTGACTTCAGAGTGGGAATGCTGAAAGGCATGCCCACTCATGGATTGTTGTGCCAGTTTTCTGAGCTATCAGAGTGGGACGCACATGGGATTGTTTGGCACCTTTGAGGTGAGGCAGGCGTCGTATTTTCCGGAAACAACCGAGAGGATCAAAATATTGTGTTTCAGGAGGTGGAAGAGCTTGACAGCCGGCTGCCCATGAAGCGTGAGGAGCTGGACAAGGAGGGGACTTTAGTATCCCATCGGGGTCAAGAAGATTGTCTCAGAGCATAGCCCCGAGACATTTGAACTGCTCGCGTCCTTATTCCAGGACTTGAAGGAACGCCAGGAGAAGAAGCAGGAGGAGTTCTTGTATCGGCTGACGCCATTTTTCCCCGCCGGGTGCCCGGCTCCGGTGTGGCATTTAGCAAGTTGAGCTGCGAATTGGAGCCAAATGTTGGGGCCAGATGGGCAGTTTAACAGGCATCACAGCTGCCCCATGGCGAAGATGGTGGGAATTCCTCTCAATGGGTCTTTGTGTCATGGCTTGTCGCCACCCTGGTGATGATGGCCATGATAGTGAGGATAAGCCTCAACTGTGGCTCCAGCGACTCTGTCAATTGCCACTGCCATGTTCAATATGTTCGAGCATGTTCACCAGGAATTGATCCAAACAGGCAGATGACATGACGGAGGAGGCAGAGAAGGCGAAAGCAGAGTTCAAGAGCAAGGCCGGCTGGGAGGCGAGGGCGTGCATAAATTGACGACTATGCGTAGAAATTGTGCACTCTCTTGTGGTGAATGGTTTTGGGGACTTGATTGTAGAGGAAACCGTTGCCATGTGAGTGGCGGCCTTTTTGCCCTACAAGCTATAAAGTAGTGAGAGGGACATATTTCTTGAAAGAGTGCATCGCGCACGCGCGGAAGCCTGCAGAAGGCTTCGCAGAAGGCTTTTTTGGTCGCGGAAGGTTTGCGGAGGCTTTGTGGTTGGAGAATATGAAATGTTTCAGTTTGTGCGCATGGAAAAGCAACAGGAAATAATTACAGTAAAAGCAGAAAGGTGTTGCACAAGAAGCGCAACACTCACCAGAAGAGCAGTTGCTAACAGCAAGCCAAAAGAATCAGAACAGCCTCGCAGAAGGCCCCCAGGCAAGTGCCCACTTAGCTGGTAGCCCAAATGGAGACCAAGCCTAGGCACGCTGCACCAACGCATGCAAAACGTTGCTTTCCCTCATTACACCGACTTTCCTTTCTGCCCCAACGCCGCTGCGGAAGAGACCTCTTGGCCCGCGGCAAGGATGCGGAAGGGCCCTCGGAAGCTTCAATGATGTCCACTCAAATTTAACGGGAATCAATTTCACCATTCACAATGAATCTTCCCACTTGATCACACTTCAAGAATGCAGGTATGCGCTTTGTTCGCAGGTGGCAGAGCTCTTGCGAAATTCGGAGTTCAAGAACAAGGCCCCTCAGAAGCAATGCAACACAGGCTAATGATGTCTTGGATCCGACGCTATTTGATACACTGGTACACCAAGGACTTACTGCTTCAGAGGGCAGAGCAGGCTGCGAATGAGACTTGTGACGAATTGTGACTCACTTAAACTGCCAAGCGCATTTCATTTCTGACTTGAGATACTTGTTTGTTGCTTGTCAGTATGCGTGGATCGATCAATACACGGGAAGATGTTGTGGCGTATGCAAACGGAGTCTGTTTCTTCGCGGCAGATCCAGAACGAGGAGCTGACAAAGGCAGAAAAGTTGGTGGGGGCAACGCCCCTAGAGCTCAGCAGTCAATTCTTTAGGATGGGCTGCAGTGAAAGCTGAGCATGAGGAGTCGCAGGCACATGTGTGTGGCAGCACGAGGCAATTTGCCTGCCGTTGGCAAGCAAAGACTTGGAACACAAGCTGGGAGTTGTCAAGGCAGGGTTCAATCGTGACAAAGCAGCTGCAAGGAAATCCTTCGTTTTGTATCATTGCGGGGACAGAGGCTTAGTCTCAAATGTTTGCTGAGACTGAAGTTCTGGATGCGCTGGACTCGAGTCTTCGCCTCAGCTCAGGGCCAAGCAGTTGGAATTGAACGTGGGTTGCATCCCAGTTTTCCACTGCTATGGAAGCACGCACAAGCCAGTATGGTAGCAACCAGCCTCAAGATGCATCTTGCATTTGGCCAGCTGTTGCGCTTGCCTATATTTGCCTTTAATCACCATGCTGCTTTGTTGGTAGGGTATGTTAGTATGTTAGTCACATTGCGCAACAAAATTCAACGATCAGCTTTCCAGAGCGCTTTCAACACTAAGATTTCACCACTGTTGCAAACTTGCTCTTGTCCGCACAAGCACGCCAGCTCATGCAGATGGCGACGCCAGAACATGACAGAACAAGATGTTGCCTTCACTGGAGCGGCTGTTTGCGGACAGCTGCGACAATGACATTTGTTGAAGAGGTGCATTGCCAAACCGTTGAGAGCCTTACCCGGCACAGAGACACAACTCAGGTTCAACAAAATTGCGAGCACATGATCAAACTGACAGACTGCTTGATTTGAGGGCATAGCTGCATGTTCGATCGGCGAGGGCAGAGAGAGAGAAGCTGATTGGATCACAAGGGACGGTTCACTGGAAAGCTTGTTTTTGCCCGTACTCACACGCGCCGCCACGCGTGAGCGAGTCAGTGAGTGTGAGTGAGTGTGTGTGTGTGTGTACGTGCGAGTGTGAGGAAGTGACTGTGAGTGCGTGTGCGTGTGCATGAAGCGCGTGTGGGCGTGTATTCGTGTGTGAGGGTGTACGGGATGCGCCCGTGCCCGTGCAAAGCGCGTGTGTGAGAGCGGGCGGGCGGGCTCGCGGGTGTGTGTGTGTGAGTGTGTGTGTGTGTGTGGGTGGTCGGGTGTGTGTGTGTGTGTGAGTGTGTGTGTGTGGGTGGTCGGGTGTGTGTGTGTGTGTGTGTGTGTGTGTGCGTGCGTGCGTGTGTGCGTGTGTGCGTGTGTGCGTGTGTGCGTGTGTGCGTGTGTGCGTGTGTGCGTGTGTGCGTGTGTGCGTGTGTGCGTGTGTGCGTGTGTGCGTGTGTGCGTGTGTGCGTGTGTGCGTGTGTGCGTGTGTGCGTGTGTGCGTGTGTGCGTGTGTGCGTGTGTGCGTGTGTGCGTGTGTGCGTGTGTGCGTGTGTGTTGTGTCTGTTTGTGTGTGTGTGTGTGTTAGTGTTTGTTTGTCTGTCTGTTTGTCTGTCGTCTGTCTGTCCGTCTGTCTGACTGTCCGTCTGTGCGTCTGTCTGTCTGTGTGTCTGTGTCTGTGTCTTTGTGTGTGTGTGTGTGTGTTTTTTTGATTGTGTGGGTGCCTGGGTGGGTGGATGGGTGGGCGGTGTGAGTGTGTGAGTTTGTGTGTGTGTCTGTGTGTGTGTGTGGTGTTGCGAGTGCTGTGAAGGGATGCGATACCTGATGTGAGCAATTCTTGGTCATAGACGATTCACAAGCCGTGCAGCCGCGTTGCGCGCAAGCGTATTCAAGATGAGGCGTTTGGACTGCTTCGATGGCTTGAGTATGACTAGACACCAAACAAACACATCAGCTTGTGGTTCGGCTAGTACTGTACGCGGAGAGCGCAGAATGCTCTGCAGCTTGTGTAGCAAAGGTCAACACGTCATGTGTTTGGCTAGCAGTCACCAATGACTTGCACTTGCGATCAGTCACAAGGGGGCCCAAACCCTTTTTTCACTGGTGATTGTGGACGGACGCCCTATGATCGAGGCAGCATTGCAGACTGTTCATCGATATTCCGTGAAAGTAGTCAGTATTGCAGGGTGTGCAGGGTGCCGTATAGCTCAATAATTTAAAGTGATTAAACTTATGCTGCCGCAGATAGGTTTTGTGTGGCCGCACGATCTTGGGCTGGGTTTCTAGGAGGCGCTTGGTGGATGATTCAGGCATGGAAATCCTGACTCCAAAGTTGATCGAGTTGACAAGAAGAGGTGCGCGTCACACATTTTGGCAGAACGGATGGTGACATTGATCGTACGCAGGCGTTTGTGGCCGCATCAACGATTTGATAGAGGCGATGATTTCCGAGTGATCGATTTGTGGCGTAGTTCCTCCCAGCTGTAGGATAAACGGATGGCGAACCAGCTGGAGAATCGCAAGAGGCGGGTAGCATCACAGAGGATGGGCTGGAATGCAAAGGCTTCATTCGCAGATTGTAGAGTTCAAGCGCTTGCAATGAGCGCGGCAAGCAGGGTTCCAGAGTCGTTTTTGTCATATAGTGGCGCAGATGGCAGGTGCACGCGCTTGGCCAAACTCAGCATCGTGCCCTTGCTGACTTTGCTCGTGGCCTTGTTTGCGATCATCATGGCAGGCAGGTTGTGTCTGCGTGGCTATTGCCCTTGGCATTTGTGTGTGTATGTGTGCGTTGCATCCCCACACA